TTTCTAGAGCTGATATAGGGCAATTTGTTCAGCAGAGTGATGTAAGCTTCGTTATGATTGCATCATCCATGACTTCTAGGAATAACATGATGCAATTCATAGCATGTATGACGCAATACCAGCTTCAGATTGCATATTCATTGTTTTGCCTAAAAAGCAAGTACTGTCCAAACCCAGTCATAGATTTATTCATAGATCCAGTCAAAGATGTATTTTAGTCATTTCTGGTTTAAATTGAGATCCCTTCCCTTTATAACTCACTTATCCTCCGCCATTCCCAAGTCAAGGGTCGTATATACTGACCCAATAGCATATCATGAAAACTAGAGCCAATCAACAATTTTAAGCATCATTTTCGTTCTCAGTGACCCAGAATTAGTAAAGTTTGACTACATTTATTTCAGAAGCATTATGGCTGTAGAGCAGTGTTAACCATTCAGGTTTTAGACCATTCACAATCATGGATCTTTAAGGTATATAAAATGGGAGGTAAGGAAACATTCTAGCTGTTTTTCTGTATTGGCGCATGGGAAAAAAAAAGTATCTTTTCTTAAAGGCTTCTCTGAGTATGAGTCCCCCAAAGAATTTCTGGTGCCATTCACTCTGCTTTGGGTAAAACTCGACAGACTCAGACCATTTTCACCCGCATCACATCAAGAGTTTGATCTCTAATTCTGTGCAAACTCCCCTTCCCACCCAGCCACCTAGAACCTTTTATTAAAATGGCTGGTTTGGGGGGGCATATATCTCCATAACCTCTGGCACAAAGACCCCAGAGTTTAGTCACTTATCCTACCCTGAACCTTCCTGAGGCCACCCAAATGTTAAATTAGGGTTGCCACCCATCTGGATTGTACCTGTACAGTCTGGTTTTTGGCTTCTGTGTCCAGGTCCCATTTAGAGTTGCCAGATGCCCAGTTTTCAACCAGAAAGTCTGGTCAAAAAGGGAACCTGGCAACCCTAAATGGCACCCGAACCAAAAGTCCAATTACCATGGGGTGGATGGTGTTATTACATGTTATTAATCTGTGCCAGCCCCTGCTTAGCTGCTACCCGCAGGCAGGTTCCTTGAGACGGTCCAGCGAGTGTTGCGGGGAGGGAGGAGAAGAGAGAGCAACAGGACGGGGCCTTGGAGAAAGAGGGGGAGAAGGGAGCAGAGCCTGGGGGAAGAGGTGGAGAAGGGGTGGGGTCTTGAGGGAAGAGGTGGAGCGGGGGTTGGGCCTTGGGAGGAAGAAGCAGGGCAGGGGGCAAGGGGCAGGGCCTTGGAGGTTTGGTTACCAGCAATTAGAAAGGTGGCAACCCTATTCTGACCAAGCATCTGACCAAGCATGTCAATTTCCCAGAACTTAGAAGTGTTGACCTTTCAACAGAAGGCATGATGTGACCTTAACTATAGTGGCACTATTATACACCAACCACTGTAATAGAAAGGCACACATTTTAAGTCATTCTAAATGCTCACCGTAAGCAGCTCCTGGATTGCATGCTGCCCCTTTGACCTAGTCCTGGAAAGGCTTCAATAGTCAGCTTTTCTGTCATTGTTCTGGTGGACTGTTCTCTTCCATTCGTTTGCCTAAGAAGGATGAGATGCTGACTTCCATCTCCTGAGAATTGCTCTTTGGGACTCTGTCCTGCAAGCTGCTGCTAAGAAAGAAGTGCATGTAGACTGTTGTTTCCAAATCCTTTTCTCACTAAGGCCTTTTTTCCTACTGCAAAATAAACAATACTTTGGCTTCAGGAGAAGGCTGTCTGGTCACTATACACACCACAGGTCACAGGCTGCTGGAGGGAAGAACCACAGGCATACAAACACAGCACACAGTCGATACACAGGGTGCTATATCCAGGGCCTGGTCTGAGAGTTGGAGAATTATGGCATTCCATCCCAGGAGAGGGAAAGGCCTGGGGAGTGACAACCTGTGGATGCACTCAGAGAGACCAGAGAGGGGACTGAGGTGCAGCTAGACCTGAAACTGTGACACAAGTATCCAACTGTGGTCCAAAATAGTCTAGGTGTAGTGACCTCCAGAGCATGCGGCAAGGCCTGGCCTTCTGTTTGCTCAAGTACCTGAAGAATCTGGAGGCTGATGAAGGCTATTGTTTAGGGAGGAGGGGAAAGTCCCCCTGTTGGGTTGGGGTTGGACTTTTGCTGAAGTGAGAGTTTGTTTTAAATAATGTCAGAGGTGCCCAGAGTAACAGTCAGGCTCTTTTTAGGTCACTGTACGTAAGAAGAAATGATATTAATAACAATAATTGAAGAGCATGGAGAATTGGCACTGACTGGTTAAAAAGCAGGGGAAATGAGCTCATCTGTTACTACAGAAGGCAGAGCACAGTTATGTATCATACAATCCAGTTGAGAAATGATGGACCAGTGCCAAGTGTCTAGAAAACCACCATCAGATTAGGACTTACCCCTATCAAGGATAAGGCTTTCGAGGATGCCCCAAATATCTGGCCTTCTTGGATTAGATGAGAACTCTTGTGTTCTGAGCAGCTAGTCCGCCCATCACCAACGCCACTTGATTTTAGGTACAGCATAATCCGGGCAATGCCTTTTTACCATCAAGCATTCGGCTGATGTGGGCAGCACTCAGATATTACTGGGATGTACGTGGCATAAGAACATAGCAAGATAGAAGGACAGAGTGAGAGTGGAACAATTCTGCAGCACTGAGTCATCCCAAGTGAGTTTCAAAACGTAGTTTATCCCACCTTCATGCTGTGTCACACAGCCCGGAAGGGGACTTTATTATAATCTTTTTCTAAATTTCAAACTCAAAATTCTGATTACAGCAGTACTGTTTGGGGGCTTCTCACGGAGGCCACGCTGTTGGGATTTTGGTAGACGTTTGTGAGGGATGTTGGTGGCTGAAGGTGAAAAAGGCAGCCTGGTGTAGTGCTCTGAGCACAGCACTGGGATGCGCAGGGGAGCACGGTGACTGGTCGCTCCCTCCCTAGATCCATGGAGATGTGGAATAACATATTGGTGATGCTACAAGTATGAAGATAACACCGAATAGGGCCCTGGCTTGGGCTATATTTCCTGATACTCTCAGATTTGAAGGTCTGGCTCACTACTGAAGAGTACTAATGTATGTATGCATCTAAACCATGGACCATGGACCTGCTTGTTGTGAATTAGAATTGACACTAGTGTTATAAATACAGGTTAGCCCAGTTACTGGGAATGTGGACGGGTAAGTGGGAGTTTATTATTATCTTTCCTGCAGGGAAGCCACATTACTTAATGGTCTGAACACACGAGTGGGAGCCAGGAACTCCTGAATTCAAAACCAGGCTCTGACACTCCCTTCTCTGGCTCTAGGCAAGTCACCTAACTCAGTGCCGTGGTTTCCATAGCTGCCAACTAGGGAGGATAATCTCTCCCCGGAGTGTCGAGAGGATTCATCAGATAATATTTGTAGAGCGCTTTGAAGATATAAAATGATAAATATTATGATGCGGCTTGGAATTATTTTCAGGACCTTCTAATTTCTTACCCTGAGCTTTTATTAGCTCCTCTCTTTTCCAGTGGACGTCTATTAGCTTGGGAACCACCCCAGGAACTTTGGGAGTTGCTTTTCCAATAGCTTGGAGCCATTCTGAAATGACTCTGACTCACACAAATGCCCTGTAGATGCTGAATTTTATGTGAATCTGTCTCTGACAACTGATCCTGAATGGGAAACGCCCTGGTATTCTCCCTGTTAGGGAGCCAAGGCAGGGAGTGGTAGGAGATGGGATGAATCAAGTTTAACTGTCTCTAATGAATCCCATCACTCTTCTCCAAGAGCATCTCACTGCAGGGAGTTGTGTACGCCAAGGTCCCTTTTGACTAAGGGGAGGTGGGGAGCTCATTTCTAGCTGACCACTTTGGTTGTATTCTTTGTGTTATTCATTTCCCCTGGTCAGTGTAGGGAGGCTGGTACAGGACATGCATCTAATAATGGTGTAACGTTTTCATTGCTCTCCATCTCACTATTGGGCAGCATGTACACTGGAGACAATGGGTTTTGTATAGACTAAAATGACACCCCTCCTCAACCTCACCCTTAGGACAGAGTCAACGGTCTTCAAATGTCTATTTCTTTGGAACATGTTGAATCTCTCCATGCCGTGTAATGCTTAGTGCCACCATGGTGTGTCACACCCCCTCACAGCGGCATCATCTCATAAAAGCCAGTGTTAATTTCTCAGGTGTGTGAAAAATGAAGGTCGCTCCTAGGCACCAGGAGCCCAGTTTTTCATTGTTCAATGATCTCGGTGGATACAAGTCCATACTCTACATGACTCTCTACGCCTTCCTCTCTACACTGATATTTCGAGCAGTGTAGTGTCCCGCTGCCATCCCACTGTTGGAGCCTTTCCCCACTGATGGAGTTTTTCCCTGAAACTCTGGCAGACGGGAGTCAGTAGGGAAAGGCTCTGCCAGCACCCAGTTGCTGGGGCCTTTCCCCACAATTCAGCCCTTCCCCACAGCCTCCTCCCTGCCAGAGCCACCTTCTCACCACAGTGAAAGGCTTTGGCAGCAGGGAGCTACTGAAACATTCCCCTGCTGCCTCCCCGCACCAGAGCTTTTCACTGACACGTGTAGCTGCACACTGCAGTGTGGACGGAGCCTGCTGTTCACTGCAGTGTGTAGCTACACATACCCTATGCACTGCCACCAGTTGCGTGCCGTGTAGACATAGGCTTTGTGTTGTTCCATCACTCCTAAAGGCAGTGAATCTACTCACTGGGGAATGTTCTTGGTGCAGGGGCTGCGTGAGAGGATAGAGAGCTGGCATAACCGGTTCTACACGTCTCCCTCCTACAACCCCTAGCCTATGATATGTGCCAGGGCAAGGTGCATTGCTAGAGCATGCTGTTTACCTTGACTGCTGCAATGGCCCCTAGGAGTCTGGAACAGCCATAGGTCAAGTCAGAGCATCTTCAAGACTGCTCTTACTTATGCCAGTAGTTGGGCAGGCCCCTGGACAGTCCCAGAACAAAAGGTGGCATAAAACAATTTTGCACATGCACCTCTATTCAAATGTGGAGTCTAGTCTGCCAGAATGGCAAATCAGGCCCCAGGTTTTTGAGGAAGGTGGTCCTATTAGTCATGATTGTAATTATTAGCATTCTGAGAGCACTCATTGCCTGTAGTGGCTGGGCACTCTTTATTACTCACAGAACACCTTACAGACAGACATTGGGTAAAGAACTCCTGTCTACTTTCCAGTTCCTCTTCTATCCATCCCAGCAACGAGTGGTTTTTACCTTTACATTCTTTATGTTAGTGTGTGTTTTACTCTAGCTACTTAAAAGCATGATCTCCCTCGAGTGGAACAACTACTGCACTGCATCTGAACAGCTGTGTGTTACCAGACCTTTTCTGCCCTTTTGCTATGTGATAATATGTAAAGAACTGTGGGAAAAAATGATGACCACATATAGCACAGGCTGTGGTGAGTCCACTTAATGTTCTCTATTCTCAGCAGCATAAGAGAACATGGTGTGTTTTGCAAGATACAGCCACTATCAGCTTGACTAGCAAGATCTAGAAATGAGAGGAAGGAATAAAGGGGAGCAAATAGAGAAAATGAATTACAATAATTAAGATTTGCAATGATATGAACTAGCTGTTTGCTTCATTTGAAGCCTGTCACTTCTTCAAAGAAGAGTACAGGGCCGGCTCCAGGCACCAGCTTGTGCTTGGGGCGGCACCTGGAGGGGGGCGGCGCGGCGCTCCGGCCCCCGGGGAGAGCGGGGCCACGGCCGGGCTCGCCGCCCT